TTGGGCATGATGCAGGCCACCAACAAATCTCAATGCCCTTTCTGTACATAAATACATACTAATAGCAGGGCCTTTTTTTACAACCATCAAAAGCTGCGATCCAAGCTTCTCTTTACCTTTATGCCTTTTCCTTTATACGGCTCTTCTCCGACTTTTAGGGACCCAAGAACATAATCAAAAGATTAATCCCCCTTCCATTTACAGATTGTTTCCGGTCGTGTAATACGGTTGTACGGATGTAAATACATACAAGGGCCGGCTTTTGGATTTTACGACTTAAATTTTGCTTTGGGCGAGAGGCTTTAGTGCTTTACGGAAAACGCAGTTCTTCTCGTTGATTGTCGGGGGTTTGAATAGTATACATGTAAATCAGTTTGTCGGGAAAATAAAGCACGGATCGCGTCATTGAAGTGAAAAGCAATTTTATTTTGCCGTGACACATTTCATTTCCTCGACGGCGAAGGGAGTTTCGACGCGACAGAGTGCTCACTATTTTCCCGACAAACTGATGTTTGCATTTTCATAAAGTGAGTGGACTATTTTACTGTCACTTTTTGCACAATAATGTGTCTCTCGCGCGCGCACGGTGCAAAAGGTCGACTGCAGAAACTTTGCAACAAAAAGTCTGCGCACTTTTGAAAAAGGCGTAGTATTAGTCTGTCGGAAAAATAATGAGCACCCTGTTGCTTCGAAAAGCGTATCGCCACCGAGAAAATGAATTGTGTCGGGGTAAAATCAAGTTGCTTTTCACTTCAGCGGCACGATCGACGTAGCGACACTATGCTCATTATTTTCACGACAGACTAATACTCAACAGTTTACCATTACAGCCCTCAATAAATTACATGATCCCTACAAGTCTTATATCACCCAATCCGCCTGATTTATCCCTTATTTACACCACTCATCGGGATATTTCATACGCCATTACTTGATACGAAGAAACTCTGTAATTGGATTAGATATATCCCTTCGAAAAAACGTACGAGAGGAGAAGTCTCGGGCCAAGATTTTCATTACGTAATATCCCCGCCAAACTTCCTGATTTTTGTTTTTCTCCGTCTAACCGCCAAAATATTCGTTTTGAGCCTAGCGTGACTTGATTTTCCATAAAAGATTCCGGAAATCGCCGACTTCCTTGACTGCTTTTCGTTTGTTTCGGGCTGGATGGGCTGAATTTTCCGGTCTTGTTCGGTTGAAGAGCCCATAATGGGATTTTTTTATAAGTTCAAGTGAATTTTTATTGCTGGTTTGGTTTTCAAATTGAATGTTAAAGGTAAAATCCGAGCGGGTTAAAACAGACCTTGATATATTTGGATTTTCTGACATACTACATTCGAAAAATGCCTGTAAAATGAAATTTTTGCGGTTTGCTAGGGTTAAAATGCCCTTAGTTTGTTTAGTACATCTGTAAAAACTTAGTTTCTTTATCCCTTCATGACGTCCTTCAAAAAAATTGCAAGCTTTCTTGCATTTTTTCTTTTTTTTAATTTTGCACAGTGCGTTCCGATTTTTGGCCTATTTTTGGCTTTGCACCTTGCACAAAGTCATATGGAATAAAAACGTAAATTTTGGGAGGGAAAACGTTAAAAAACATTCAAAAGTCATTTCAGGTGGTCAGTAAATCAATTTGTCAACCAAACTGAGTACACATATGTACTAGTCTTTCAGAAAGACGTAGAGTTTTTTTGGCTAAAAAGGGGTTTTGTGCACCATGCGGCCCAAGACAAAAAAATCTACGCACTTTCTGAAACGACTAGTACATTTATGCAAGTATTTTAGTTGACAGATTGATTTACTGACCACCGGAAAGACTTATGAATGCTTTTTTAACGTTTTTTCTCCAAAAATTTACGTTTTCTTCCATAAAATTTCTTTGCACTGTGCAAAGCCAAAAATAGGCTAAAAATCGGGATGCACCGTGCAAAATGAAAAAATCAAAAAAAAAAAAATGCAGAAGCGCTTGCAAAATTTTGATGGGCATCATAGAGGCATAAAGAAACTAAGCATTTACAGATGTACTAAACAAGTTAAGGGCATTTTGGTCCTACATTTTTCGGGCATACCGCGAAAAATTCATCTTAAAGGGATTTTTGGAAATTTGAAGCCTTAAAATTGCCTAAAAACTTGAGAATTTGACCGATTATTGCTTTTTACTATTACACTCCACGACTCAAAGCTCAATTTTTTATATAATAGACCTCAATTTTACAAGTTTTACCGGAAGTTTTGAGCACTTTTCCCTTCTTTTCTTCGAATTTTAAGCTTTCATCGAAAACTTTTTTCTCCCATGTTTTTTGGCCATAAATGTTTTTCGCGGGTTTTCTTTCTTCTCTCGCGTTACGACTGGTCGTTAAAGAAAGAGGCCGTTAAAATGCGATTTAGCCTTTTTTAATCCAATTCCCGAGATTTATTGTTCCGGCTTTTGGCGGGGTTTTTCGTTTCAAAAATTAATTTATTTTACTTGTAGAGACATTGCTGTGGGTCAGTGGATGTCGCCGAATATGGCGGTCAGCGATGGAGTGCCCAAAATGTCCGGTGGCTCCGGGAAATCGAATGGGAGCAGTCGTAAGTCGCAAATTTTTGTATTTATTTTACTCCTCAATATCAGTCTGTCGGGAAAATAATGAAGATAATGGCGTTATTCCGGTTGCGTCGCTGAGATGAAAAACAATTTGATTTTGCCGCGACTCAATTCATTTTTTCGGTGGCGGTGTGATTTTCGATGCGACAGGGTGCCCATTATTTTCCCGACAGACTGATAATTGACCCTTTTTATAATTTTTTTTGATCACATCAGTTTTCGCAACATGTGACCACATTTTATATGATAATCGTTGCCTGACTTATGCTGGAACACGAGGGGAAGAACTTTGAGGCATAGAGTTTAAAATATTTCAGGCAATTTCCTCTCGGAAAACGGCAATTTTCTATTTTTCTTCAACTTTTCTGCATTTGGAGGAAATTATTAACGAGATGATGTGATGTTATCTGAAATGGACGATGCGTATTTTCAGACTGAAATGGACGATGCGTATTTTACAAAATAAAAATATTACAAAAATTAATTATTTTTTGATGATTTGAGAAAAATCTTTGAATTCTACGACAAAAAGTTTAAAAAAGAAACATTTCACCTACAAAAATCTTAAATTTTTGACCTATATGAGGTGCGTATTTTACAAATTTCCTACTTTTTTCAAAATCACTCAAAAAATTCATTCGTATTTTAGCCCCTCGATTCATCCAAAATACACGTATTTTACGTGACTAATCAGACAGTTCACATGGCCCAAAGTGTTTTCTTTGATTTAAAAGAATTTTGGCCGCTTTTCGGCCGCTCTCCCCTCCTTGTTTTCCACGGGTTCAAAGACAATTGATGAGATCCATCTTTTTACCACCTGTGAGAAAATGGAAGGAAAATCGCCTGCGGGCTCTCGGGAAGTGGAAAGTTTAATGATTTGGGAGTATAAATTTTATTTAATTAAAAGTTGAATTTTGAATTTTTTTCGCACTGTGCGAAAAAGCTATAATTTTGCTAATTCTGCACAGTGCGAATTTTGGCTTTGAGTTTGCGCTGCACAGTGAAAAGAGTAAAAAGAAGTCGAAAATTTGAACGCACCGTGCGAAAAAAATTTTTTACTCTTTTCAAAAAAAAATTAAAAAATTCATGAAACTCTCACGTATTATATCACTGTAATTCTCTCGAAACGTCAAAAAACACGGCACAAACCCCAAAAGAGTTTTGTTTGGAACGGCACTTTTGAAGGGAAACGTTTTAATCGCCCCGAAAAGGGCACGGTGCGGCCAGGAAATTGGCTGCGACAATTGTCTGGGGGGAAACCCAATTTTGTCTTGAGGAATTTATCATTGGCCCGAATTTTGGTTGTTTATTGCGAAAACATTCGGGAAAAAAAGAAATGGGATTGGTTTTGGATGGGGTACAAAAGGAGAGGGGTTTCGAGGGGAGGTTTTGTAGGAAATATCACTTTTTGGAGGGAATGTGTCATCTTCACAAAGCAAAATTAGTAAAATTTCACATTTTTATTTTCGCACTGTGCAAAATCGTGGCTCATTTTTATGCACAGTGCAAAAATTTTTTATTTTTTTTCGCACTGTGCGAAAAAATAAAAAATCATTTTTCTGCACGGTGCGATAATAAAGTTGATTTTTGATGACGTGCACGTCAATCCAACGAGATTTCCTGACCTGTTTAGACGTTTCGAAGGCACATTATTGATCGGCAAAAATTTTTGATATTCAAAAATTTTTCGAAACTTTTTTTTTTGACCTTGGACTTAAAAAACCCCCAAAAAAATTAGAACATTAGTTTCTGACCTAATCGCTGGATTTTGTTTACCCAAAAAATAAAAGTCCAAAAAATTTTCTCCAAAATTCTATTTGTGACTAAATGCCACAGCGATTAAATTTAGGTCAGGAAATAGCTTCAACTACGTTGGATTGACGGGTTCAAGCAAAGATCACTGTCTATTTCTCGCAGAAAATTTTTAGTTTTCCCGCAAGAAAATATTTTTTCTGCACCGTGCAAAAAAATATTTTTTCTGCACTGTGCAAGAAAATATTTTTTTCTGCACCGTGCAAAAGAGATATTTTTGTGACGAAACGACTGCACCGTGCAATTCATTTTTATTTTTTTGTCACTCAGAAATATTCGCATAGAACAGCAATTTTTGCGGCAAATCTATTTTGCACCGCGGTGCAATTCGCACAGTGCAGAACAGAAAAATTTTTTTCCGCACTCTGCAAAAGAATAACATTTTCCCGCACTGTGCAAAAAAATTTTTATTCTGGACTGTGCAGGAAAGTAATTTTTTTCTGCACCGTGCAAAAAAAACATTGAAAAACAATTTTTTTTTCACAGTACAATTTTTAACGATTCCTTCCATTTTTAATTCCCGAAAAATCAGAAATATACTATTTCCGCGACTTTGAAGACATTCCGATCTTTGACTTACCCCCGCTCGTTTTTTTGTCAGAGAATGGACTTGCTGGACGTGGAGAGCGACCTGATTCGAAGCGGAAGCTTCCGCCAACAGCGCCGGCCCTGTGTGGATGGTAATAATGATTGACAAATGTCGAATTCGTTCGAGACAAGTCTCATAAGTTTTTGGACACAAAATTGTTTTACTCTCTCGCTTATACTTGCCTTTACGAGTATTTCTGCTAACGTTTATGGGGATACTTTTCACTGGTGCTTTATTTGAATTCGAAAAAATGTCGAAAAATTTGGGAAGAAGAGACCTGGGTAAGACAATATAAATCCTTGATTTGAGTGGGAAAATGTTGAAAGAAAAGTGGAAAATGGCATGTCAGCTGATTATAGGGGCTCTAGATATATTTTAAAGACAAAATTAAGAGCGATTTTTCTCAAAAAGTTGAAAAAAATCGAATTTTCGAAAAATCGCAAAGTTGATAGGAAGGGTAATATCGATCGCACTTTTTCGGTAAACCCAGGGCAGTGAAAGATAAAATAGATGTTGTAAGTAATGTAGTAGACCATTAGCTTCATTTTACACCACAGTTGTCAAATATTTATAACTGACCTTTTTTCTAAAATTGAACAAAAGCTCTTTAATTGAGAACTATCACAAGAGGGATAATATAGATTATTTTTAGGGGTCTACGCGGGATTTAAAGTGCATTTAGGCACTCACAGGATGCAAGGGCTATATGATATCATTTCTGAATAATAAATCTTGCCTTAAATTATTCAAATTTTCGGGGAGATTCAAGAAAACCAAAAAAAATTTCGGATTAATCTTTAAGGCAAGATTAATATAGTGTCCCTGCTCAAACGTAGCGTTAAAATCCACCATTTTTTTATTAGCTGCAGTATAGACCATAACGCGCGCAGTCAATCAAAACTGGCCAACAAATTCTATTTTATGGGACACAAAAACGGCCAAGTTTCGAGCTCGCTGTGGTCGATAAAAAGTGGTGATTAAAATCGAAAAAAAGTAAAAAGAATAAAAATCCAATAGCCTCCAAATGTCAAGCACTGCATAATAGTAGTCGTAAAGATGTAATTGCTTCGTTTTCAGCGATGATAACGTTGTATGAGCAGTTACAACTGCAGCAGATTCAAGCCAACAGCTCCATGTCGTCTTCGTCGCATGCGCAAGCCATTCAAACAATAAAATGTGTGGTGGAAGGTGAGAAACATGTTTTTTGGGCGTTGAAATATATTTTTCAGACAAAAAGGCGCATGAGAAGGAGACTTTTTGTCGACTTTTAGGAAATTTTGGTCCAAAAACCTTTGAATTTTGAGATTTTTCCTAATTTTCTTCTGTTTTAGGCGATAGAAAAGTCGGCCGAACATCTCTCTTGAAAGTTTATACCGGCGAATTGGATGACTCAAGGTTTGATGAGCCCTGCTCATCGGAGAACTCGCAAAATTCCGGCAAAACCTCGGCCCTACGCAATTTCTCGGCCGAACTTCGGATGGACGGCCGTCCAATATACCTAATAATGCATGAGACTGAAGCCGGCTCGGATTTCGACCATCTTCGAAGGCTTCACTATGCCGAAACCGACTGTTTCGTATTGTGTTTTAGTGTGGTAAAGCCGGAGACTTTTGATTCGATACGAAATTTTTGGTACTTGGAAGTCATCGAGCACTGTCAGAAGTGGCCGACGATCATTTTAGTGGGTAAGGAATATGTAGTGTATACAAAAAATATGATGACTTGAAGAAGAGAGGGACTCATTAAAGTCAAGCTATTATTATTATCAGTTGTCGGGAAAATAATGAGCACCGTGTCGCATCAAAAATCGCATCGCCACCGAGAAAATGAATTGAGTCGCGGCAAAATCAAATTCTATTCACCTCAGCGACGCGATCAGCGCAGCGACATTGTGATCATTATTTTTCCGACAGACTGATGGTATTTTCATAAAGTGCATGGACATTTTTTGCGGTTCTCACGTGCAGAAAAAAACCCTCCATTTTGCTACGTGCATTTCACCTTCCTTTTTGTTTTTCGCACTGTTTCGCATCGGAAACATCGCCGCGGCAAAGGCTTTCTTTTCATTTTCATCGTCGCGGTTTTACTCAAGAATTTGCACTGGGCAAACGGCTTTTTTGCGGTTTGCTTTGGGCGAAAAGAAAAAAGGCACAGTGCGTTGGCGACAAACGTGGGAAAAAGTTCAAAATGCCCTGTGCGAAAGACAAAAAGTGTGAAAAAAAATTTCCATGTACTTTATAAAAATAAAGTACAATAGTAATATCAGCCTGCCGGGAAAATAATGAGCACAACGTCTCTGCGCCAATCGCGTCGCTAAATTGAAAAACAATTTGATTTTGCCGCGACATAATTCATTTCCTCGGCGACGACGCGATTTTTGATGCGACAGAGTGCTCATTATTTCCCCGACAAACTGATAATAAGATCAACTTTGAAGCAACTTTTTTATTTTTTTGAAAAATAAACCATGATTTCCAGGTACTATGGTCGACCTCCGCGAGGACCCAGACACCGTGGCGGATCTACAGGAGCGCGGGAAGCAGCCTATCACTTGTGAGCAGGGAATGCGACTAGCCAAAGACATAAAAGCCGCCCGATATTTGGAGTGCTCAGCGAAGACGAAAGTCGGAATCTCAACGGTGTTTCATGAAGCCGTGCGTGCAGTATTGGCTCCGCCAGAGATCCCGAGCGGAACCAAATTACCCAAAGGCCTTCAAGACGACTGGAATTGCTCGATTATGTAAAAATTGCCTTATATAGAGACCCAGAACTGTGATAACATGAATGCTTTCATTGTTGAGTAATAATTATGCGATATTATTGTCCATTTTTGCTTAATGCAATATTATAAACTTTACCTCACTTTGCAATCCTGTAATAGTCTTTTTATAAAGTGCATTGAGTTTTGGTCGCCGAAATAAAAAATAAAAGGTGGTCATTTTTTGGAACATAATGGCTTAAAAGTGCATCTAAAAATAGCAAATCTTCAGACTTCTTATCAAAAAATTTGGATATGGGGAGGCTTTTCGAAACTTGTAGTGCAAGTTTCGAAAGAAAATTTTTACCGACATTCAGTTATTTTTGATCAAAAAGATTGTTGTTATTATTGCTCCAAATGACTTTCGAAAAGCGACATTACTTTTTGGACAACCTAATAGAAGTATTTTATCACAATTTTTTGAATGATGATCATCGTACTAGTCCTTCCGGAAAGTCGCCGGACGGAAATCGGCGACATGCACTCCGCGAAAACGAAAGTCCACTTTGCACTGTGCAATTTTTGGCTTTTTGCACTGTGCAATATTTCTCACAGTGCATGTCGCCGATTTCCGTCCGGCGACTTTCCGGAAGGACTAGTACTAGTCTTTCCATAAAATATGACTGTTTGTCGTAGCCCTTACTGGCAGAAAACCCTGTTTGAGGCGAGCATTTGACATTTTGCGAGTGCAATATCGCAAGCTTTTTTTCGATGCGACAGAGTGCTCATTATTTTCCCGGCTGACTGATAGTATTGCCCCAAAACCAAGTCATAGTAGGTTAAATTAAATTTTTATTCCATTATCACAAAAACCAGCATTGATTGAAGTCGAATAAAATTAAACGGCGAGCAAGGTCTTGGAGCAGCTTCCCTGCGCCAGCTTCAAAGCGCGATCGCAGCCGCAAGAGACGGTGTTGACCAGGGGGTAGGCCGAGTTCAGTGCGCCCTTCTGCGCCTTTACTTGGTCGAACTGCTCCTTGGTGATGGACTTGTCATTCTTCCGGTCAATAATTGTGCACCCAGGCGCAAGGAGACCACAGTTGTTGAGGACAAAGTTGTACCAACAGCCTGAAGAGAGGGAGGAATTGAATTTCAATATGAAGGGATGAGAAATATCAGTCTGTCGGGTAAATAATGAGCAAAATTTCGCTACGCCAACTGCCTCGGTGAAGTCAAAAGCAATTTGATTTTGCTGCGATGCAATTCATTTTCTCGGCGGCGACGCGACTTTTGATGAATGCTCATTATTTTCCCGACAAACTTCTAAATTGATGAAATTACCGCTGTCACTGCAGAAGGGGACAAAAGCGATGTCTTCGGGCTGAGGATTGCTGACTTGCCAGCACTGCTGGGTCACACTGTTGCAAGCGCAAAGTGGAGCTTGCCCCAGACAAGAAAGACCGGCATTTCTGTAATAATCGAGTAGTTTTGCATTACAGTTTGATTTACATGAAGAGATTCACGAAAACTCACGCCTTAATGAAAGTCGGCTTCTCATGCTTGGCCCAGTTTTCATCTTGAGCCGCAGCGAACGTAAAGGCATGGGTTTCGGGGCAAAGACAGTAGCCAGTGGCCACACCAACTGGTCCGAGGCTGAAATAATCATTATTAGAGGGTAGTAAAATGATGTTGCGAAAAAGAAATGTAAATTCCTACACAATATCGGTGAGGAGCAGAGCGTTGTTCTCCTTGGGCAAGGGGCAAACTGGAAAGAAAGTATTAATAATAAAGATGATACAGGGTAATCGATATGATACGTACTCTGAGCGGCTGGAAGTTTGGGCTCATCTACACAGCTGAAGGGCTTTGGAGTTTTGCCACAGGACAAGGATGCGACTTCTGGGTATGACGCATCCAATGGCTTGTAGATGCCATCGGCCTTTTGTTGATCAATCGAATAGACCTTTCCGTTGTCGCACCTGATCTTATCGTTGACATGTTGGAAGACCAGACGGTTCTTGCAGGCTAAAATTAAATTAAATGGCATTTGAAAAGACGAGAAAGAACCAAAGATCTGGTAGAACTCACATGTTCCATCGCAATGTGGGTAGATGCTGAAGCCGGTGAATCCGTTTGTCTCAACTTTGCAGCAACTTCCATCGACCAAACACACTTCAAACTCCTCGATGGTGGGACAGCCACGACCCGCGGCTACCACACTGCAGGAAAATGTTATATTAAACATCGAAGCATGAACTTACGCTGACAACGAAAAGACATCTGGAGTATAAGTGGCGGGATGGGCGTTCACATCGCCCTTGGTGATGATAACCTCTGCCTTGCCGGTGGGACAAGCGCAACGGCCAGTGGGAGCCTTGGGCAAGATGTGACCAAAGGAGTTGAAGATCGTCAACGCGACTTCTCCAGCGTCGGGAACGCATTTGGGAGTGTCGGCTGGAAGGGCTTTCAGGTCCAGGCCAGGGAGGCTTGGGCTACCCCAAACTGGAGAAACAGGATCACTGGAGCTAAGGTTCAGCCCAGCAAGAGGGCCAGCGGGGGCTTTCCAATCCGCAGCTATAGAAACAAGGTCAAATCAGCATACTCATTAAGCCCTTACCAGTTCCATTTCCTACGCCAACGGGCGTGATCTCCCTCTTGAAGGGATATGAATCGGCATGCGCGATGAGCTGAGATTGAAGCTCAATTGGATCATTCGAAAATGGCTTGAATGTGTGAGGATGATGAGTGGAGAAGTGGCCTGGAGCATGAGTTGAATGGCTGTGGTGTCCAGTATGTCCACTGTGATCATGAGTGCTTCCAGTATGTTCACCGTGATGAGAAGTGCTTCCACTTGTAGATACCGTAGCCGTGGCCGCTCCGTTATCAGTGGCGCCACTTGGGGTTGACGGAGAAACCGACGATTCAGTCGATTCGGAGGCGGCTTCAGTGGTGCTAGAATGCTCGGGACTAGTCGTCGAAGAAGTGGCGTCAACAGGGCTGGAATCGGAGGCTCCAGAGACCCCGGTAGAGGGCGACGAGGAATCAGAGGTTGACGATGAAGATTCAGAGGTTGACGACGGGGATTCGGAGGTTGACGACGAGGATTCAGAGGTTTGGCTCGAGCTTTCAGGGTTCGGGCTGGACGTAGAAACCGATGACACCCCAGTGACATCGCCAGAATCCGAGGATCCGGAAACGTCGGTGGTAGCTGAAGTGGATTCAGAGGCGTCAGAAGAGGTCACAGTCGATTCGGAAGGATCTGCCGATGGCTCCGATGTTGGCTCGGTGCTTGGGCAGGCTTTTTTCGTTGGATAGGGATCATAAGGACCGGGCTGAGGAGATGGCTGATTATCGTAAGGACCTGGCTGGTAGCCTTGACCTGGTTGGCCTGGGTAGCCTTGGCCTGGGTAGCCTGGTTCAGACTTGGGGTAGACTGGAACTCCATTGTTCTCGGGGTATTGATACTGTTCGCGGGGATAGTGGCCATGATGGTGATGATGATGGTAACCGCCATAAGGAGGGTATCCTCCTTGCTGGGGGTATCCGCCATATCCTCCTTGTTGGCCGTAAGGACTGGCCGACGCCAGAACGCCGAAAAATGCTAAAAATTTCAGCCTATACGTTGCTATATACTAAGGTAGTATTAAAGAATCCCAACATATAATGATTTTACCCCAAAACTTACCGATCGCAACCGCAATTCTCTTCATGGTATACTGTAATGCCTCCGTGGAGACTAACAAATTTTAACAAATACAAATTCCGACCCCTGACCTTGAGATTTATACTGCACCTCCATGATTTTCTGACATTTCATCGCTTAATGACACTTATAATTCGGCCAATCTTTTTTGAAATTTCGAATATTTTGACTAATTTGGCTAATGATTCAGTGGTCTCAGGAATGTTCCGCAATTGATTCACAGATTTGGAGTTAATCACAGTGAAATTATTAGACTTATTCCAGGCAATTTGAACAAATCGTTACGGTAACATGCACTTAGAACTAAAAAAATTTAAACCAATGTAAATTTAATGCTTATTCATTCGAAATCTCCTTTACATATTTTATTTTCTCAAATGCGTTTATTATGCCAAGCCCTCCAATAAATTGTCTTCAATTCCCTTGACCAGATTGCCACACGCTAATTTGCATAAAATGACCATTAATTACAAAAGATTGTCGCGCCTCTTGTGTTCCAAGTGCAATTCAACGGAGAAAAAAGGGGAGAACACTTTCTGAAGGCCGAGTTTGTCGCTAAACAGGCTGATTTTATAACTCTTTTTCGATTAAGCAGTTGTTGACAATTTTCGTAAAATACGCTTACAGATCTTTCCCCCTTAAACCTGAAAAAAATTATTTGACTTTTGGATTTTGATTGATTTCAATATGACTGTTCATATATAACGGCCTTTTCAGCGCTTTCATCTCGCCCCAAGCCCATTAATCTGCACAGCGGCTTCTTCGGGAACCGCCGAAAGAAAATGTGATTTATTCATAAGAATCCAAATTATTTCAAGTTTCAATTTCTGGGAACGGGTTGAACTTTAGCTTCCCAATTTAAATACAATTCCTTCTTAGACGACGCAAAGAGCAAGCTTTGATAAGTTTTGCAACATTAATATTTGCTGTGTTCTTTTCCCGCCATTTAATGACTTTTTTTTTATCACTTCTTCGGCGTCCATCATTCAGCGGTAGAGTCTGCGAAGCGCAAGTGCACTGTTAAATTGATGGTCGGGGCGGCCATGGGAGCCTTCCTTATCTTGGTCGCTTCTTACCCTGCCCTGAAGATGCGCAACTTGAATATACAAACTTTCTCTATTCTGTTCACCCTTTGCCCCCTTTAGATAGGTCCTCTCTTACCCAACCTTGCACGCCCTCTATTTCCCTGCCCACCTCTGTTCCCCTTCCTCATCTGTAATTACGCCGTTTAATCCGCCGCTGATCCAATTACTATTGTAAAAATAATATCCTTTCCAAAAACTCTCTGCCCGCTATTCCATTTCCCGTTCATTCTTCCCTCCAAAAAGAGATCGCATCATCACAAGAGACCGCTAGACAGTTTTCACCTAATATAATTCATAACCACAAAAAGAGCGATCGGTCAGCTGGTCACTCATCGCCGCGTTTTTTTTTTGGCATTCCCAAAAAAAGAGACAGGTGCGCTGAGCGGCGAGGAAGCGCATCGTTTGAAGAGAGACTGATTTGAGTCGGGGAAAATACGGGAAAATAAGGGTCGAGATCGCACTTTTTACCTTTGCGAGACGATTTCTTGGGACGTTCGAACGCGATTTTCATGCAATTTTGCGGGGTTTTTTGGGTTAATGAAAGGGCTTGATGGGACTGATTTTTTTCGGGTTTTATTGACGTTTTCGCGTTATTATTGCCAAGCCTCACCTTATATCTAGAGAGATGCGAAAGCTATTTCAAAACATTTCCAAACATTTGACTTCATTATTATTTATTTACACGTTTTTCACTGCTATTAAAAATATATGGCAACAAACAATACCCGTAAAATTACCGGAGATCTTTTTCTTCAAATCTACCCGAAAGTTTCGCAACTTAAAGCTAAAAATCCCTGAAGGCATCCGTGGTGTCAAAGTCAATGTATTTGCTGAGGACTTCCATGTTGACTTGTCCACTGGCTTGATGTAGATTTTGAATAAAAGAATTTTGCTGCTGAATTGTCAGCTTGGAGAGGTAACTAGCAATCTGGCTGATCTCCTGAAAAGAATTAGCAATTACCGCGAATTACGTTTTTTAAAAGGAAGTACCTCGAGTGTAACGCTCATTTTTTACTTTACCCACGCATTTGTTTCATTAAAATTTAAGCGCTACACTTCGGACACTTCCATTGTTGAAAATACATAGATAAAAACAAGGGTTTTAACAAGCTTACCAACTGATGTTTTTCTGGATTTGTGAGCCATTCGGAAAATGTGTTGGTGACGTCAAAGTCCAAATATTTTGTTAACACGTCGGTGTTGAATTGCCCATTGGCCTGATGCAGATTTTGAATGAATGTGAACTGCTGTTGGACCGTTAGGCTGGCAAATCGGGAAGCGATTTCGTTCATGTTCTGAAAGTATCGGGGATAAAATGCATTATTACTCCTAAACATATATATGTACAGGGTGGGCGGTGAAAAGTGGCAAGTTTGTTTTAACAAAAGCTCGACAGCCAAAGCATATTTTTTGCAAATGAAATATCAAATTGATTTGCAATATAAGATTATGTTTTTTTACGCCCTAGGGGTTAACCCGAAATTCTAGATCTTCAAAAAAAAAAACAGGTTCAGAGTTCTCTTGGAAATTTTAAACCTTAAGACACAAAAAATTTTAAAAACCATATAAATAATGGAGCCCTAAGGATCAATTTGATGTATCACTTGCTGCAAGCGATCCAATGAGTGGAGAGTTTTTACAAATACAAGTTTGTTATTTTCACTGTCCCATCCCTTTTAAAATCGCGAAAAATAAAAATATAGTTGACTAAACTGACCAGAAATAAGCTGAATCTGCCGCAATATCAGCAAATTTCAGACAGGACTAACTCACTCCAAGGCCCTGTTTACGAAAAAAGTAGTTTCGAAATTCTTACGAAACAACCCAGCTTTCGAGTAACAAAATATTCGCAATACCAATGCGGAATTTCCAAAACAGCTTCGCCTTTTGTTCCAAGACCCCTTGACGTATAATATGTTATCTTCAATTAAAGAATGCTCTGCCGAGTGAATCAGCAGGATGAAAACAGAGTCAACTCGCCTGCCTTTTTTATTCCGAACCGAAAAGCTTGTTTTTTACAAGGCGTATAAAACCGCGTGGGTATTCTGCAGTTTAGGGCAAGAAGTCACAAGCAAAACAGCAGAAATAACTCGAGATAAAAGGAATAGCTGACAGTCAGCTGGGGCCTTGGACAAAAGGTTATCGCAAAAATTATACTGTAGTTTATGAAATCTTCGGTTTTCGAAATTTATATACTAAACAAAAAACTTTTTGAGCTCTGTCGAGAGGCCCGGGGAGACAACACACACGAAGACTAGAGCTCGAGATCAAGTGATTTATTGAGTGAAAAGCGGCCCTTATATAGGGAAATCCCACGTAGGAAAGTACAATCAAATTTGAATAATAACTGATGATTTCCGTGGGAATTCGGGCTCGCAGTTCGGTCGTTCCGCCTCACATCTCCTCCAAGTGCTCAAGTCGGGCACGGCTTGGCACTTCCACCGAACTGGCTTCGGAGCTTGGCGGGAACACGGACTGGCAACAGGGCACGCCGGGACCAAACTGACTGGGTTGACCATCGGGATTGCGTTCCATCGAGCGGGTACAACCATCGAGACTTGAACATAGGGCACTTGCTTTCCACTCTTCGGTGACCGTTCCAATTTGGTTAAAACTGGGGTCGTAACGAAGTCTTTTAGGAGACTTCCGTGATCTGGAAGATCTTCTAGGTAACACACCAGCGTTAGGAACCACTGAGGTTGGCGTGACTGATGTGTCTCTGGATGACTCCATGACTTCATCTTGACTTGGGGATTCATCGATTTCGGCTCCATCCTCAAAGGATTCAGGCTCGAAATTGGGATCTGACTTTTCAGTCGACATTTCGTTGTCTTCTGAATCTGTCCGCTCTATCGCGGTTTTCAGAGTGTCAGATATCTGACCTTGATGACTTTCACGGCCAATATCCCCTCCCCCATTTCCAAACTGAGGGAAATCTTGAGATTCTTCATCAGAATCTGAGTCACTCTCCTGAGCAACTACACGACGCTTTACTTGGTCGTAATGGCGTCTCAATACACCAAATTCGGTTTGAATGGCTAAAAGCCTTTGACCGATGAGTTCTGAAACAACACCTGGAATCCAACGAATTCTAGGGTCATTGAACTTTCTGGCATATACCAGATCTCCTTGAGCGAATTTCTTTTCGCGTCTTCCTTTATTCGCATTTTCAGCGAGTTTCTGACGGTATTTGCTGACCGCTTTATGTTCTCCTTTACTAACCTTTTGAGGTTGTCTAGGAAGAATATTGAGACGAGATCTGAGTTTTCTGACTTTGGATAACGAGATCGGCCAAGACTGTTCTGCTTCAACAGCCAAGACATGCCTCTCCTCCATTCTACGAAACTTCTCAGGTTTCTCTGCTGGATCGGGTAGTCTAGATAACCCGTCCGCATTACCGAACTTGTCGGTTGACACATACTGTATTTCGAATGTGTACTGCATAAGCCTTATGGCCCATCTTTGCAGTCTTCTTGCTGCAACCGTAGGTAAACCTACTTTCGGACCGAAAATTCGAACCAATGGTTCATGATCGGTTTGCAGTATGAACTTTCGTCCATACAAATATTGAGAAAACTTCTCAACACCAAATAGGATCCCTAACCCTTCTTTTTCAATTTGGGCGTAATTTTTCTCTGCTGGAGTGAGCGTTCGACTGGCATAGCCAATGACCTTGATGCTTCCATCAGGGTATACATGCTCCAATTGAGCTCCTAGACCGTAGTCTGAGGCATCTGTACTGAGTCGAACTGGGATCTTTGGATCATAATGAACTAGCAATTCTGTACTAGTCAACCTTTCTTTGAGCTTTTCAAAAGCTTCTTTCTCTTTTCTACCCCACTGCCATTTTGCAGTTTTCTTTCTGAGGGCGTTTAGAGGAGCAGCGAGTGCTGATAGTCCTTTTACAAAGCGACTGTAATATTGAACCATGCCTAGAAAAGAAGCGAGTTGCTTCAGATCTTTTGGAGCTGGCATTTTGGTTATAGCTTCTACCTTGTTTGGCAGAGCTCTGATCCCTTCAGCATTTAACTCATGCCCTAATAGGGAAATACTCTCTTGAAAGAGTTCACATTTTTCTGGCTTCAGTCGAAGACCAGAATCTCGGAGTCTCTTGAGGACTTCTCTGAGATTTTGTATGTGGGACTGATCATCTGGACCAGTGACTGTAATATCATCAAGATATACAGCGACTCCTTGTATTCCTTGCAGGATCTGTTCGATCGTTGCTTGGAATCTCGCTGGAGCTGACGCAATACCAAACGGTAAGCGAGTGTACCTATACAGACCTTTAAAGGTACTGATAGTACAATATTCTTGCGCTTTCTCTGACAACCTGAGTTGATTGAAAGCTGCCTTTAAATCGATCTTGCTGAAAAGTTTTCCGCCATTCAGCTGCTGGAAGATCGATTCAGGAGTCGGGAGTGGGTACTCGTCGACATCGAGTTGAGGATTTATGGTCCTCTTGAAATCAACACAGAGTCGAATTTCATTGTTGGCTTTCGGAATGATTACCAATGGTGATGCGAAGTCTGAATTCATCACTCTTTTGAGTGAACCTTCGGCTTCCAATCTATCCAATTCCTTGGATACTTTTTCGACAAGTGCGAATGGCACAGGTCTACTTTTGAGGAACACTGGTTCCGGTGTTTTCTTGAACTTTAGTTCAACGGCTGGACCTTTGTAGGTTCCATGGCCAGGCTCAAAGAGCTCTCTAAACTCATTTTTCAGAGTATTCTCGGTTTCTTTATTGGCCTCCAAAGGGGCTACCGAATTGAGATTGACATGAGGTCCCATATCAACCTTGAGATCTCTAATAAGATCTCGTCCGAATAGGGCTTGACCCTTTCTGTCTCGGACAATGACCATTTCGGTCAATACTGAGTGCTTTCCAAAGGACGCGTCAATATACGCTGTTCCCAGCACATTCAATGGTTTACCACCATATCCATGAAGTTCTCCGGTATACGAAGATATTTTAGGTCGACCTATCTTTTCCCATACTGGTTTGGGGATGACTGACCGGACTGCTCCACTGTCCAGTTCCATGGCTATTTCAATGTCATTCAATTTGACCTTTAGCCAGACCGGAGGGATTGAAACCCTGCGAACTTCGACTTCTTGCTCCAAGGCAAGGCAAGCATCATCTTCATCTGATGACACCTCAGAATCGTATCTAGACTCTGGTAGGACAGCTCTTATCCCACTGTTTCTGCCGTTTTGGCGTCTTTGGTACCCTTGATTTGTGGGAGGCTGTCTTTGTCCTCTTTTTGGACAATAAGGCTGCATGTGCTGGCTGGAACCGCACGTATAGCAAGTTCCTTGAAGCCCTTTCGGCTTTCCTGATTTACCCCAAAGGGGTTTCTTTTGGCGCTTTTTATCCAGCCTGGCGATAGTGCCGGATGCGTTTGAGCCAGCCATTTCTTTGGCAGCCGATTGTGAACCTTCTACGAGTTCAACAATCTCTTCCAACTTGGTCATGTCCAAGTTTGGAGTTTCAAGGAGCTTTTCCTTGACTTTTTTGTCTTGCAGTCCAGCGATAATTGCTTGGACCTGGACAAAATCGCGAGTGTTCACAACACTCTCAAAGTCAGCCTTTATAGACCACGACTTTACCTGCTGAATAAACTGTTTGGACGTTTGGTCCGCCAGTTGTTTTGCAGTGAAGATCTTGTGTCGCGTAGACGCAACGAGACCTTTGGGTTCAAAGATACCCGTGAGAACTCTACAGAGTTCATCGAAGGACTTGGAGTCCATATTTTGACCGTTCATGGCCACTTCTAACGACTCATAAGCCGCTGGACCGATGTGGTTGAAAAGAAAGACTTTCTTTTCACCATCAGCTTCAATAGTGCGAGCAGCCAAGATTCTTCTCAGCATGCTTTCATAAGAAGCCCATCGGTTCTTCGTTGGATCAAAGATCCATAACTTCCCAAGGTTTGCCTGGGTGTTACTCATTTTTCTTGGTTGCTAGCCAAGATGACTTTTAGATTTGTACCTTGTAGTACTATTTCAACTCGCGTTTTGCGGTTTTTAAAGACTTTTATGTCTTTTCTTTCTCTATTTGAGACTTTGTACTATTTAGTACTATGTACTCTACGGTAACTTGTACCACTTGTACTGTTTAGCACCGAAGTACTAATCCTTTCCTTCCACAGAAAGGGATTTCAAAGCTCAGCCAGATGGAACAGGCGCGACCTGTATCTGGGCCTGAGTTCGAATCGGTGATCGCCACTGCGTGTGGTTGTCGAGAGGCCCGGGGAGACAACACACACGAAGACTAGAGCTCGAGATCAAGTGATTTATTGAGTGAAAAGCGGCCCTTATATAGGGAAATCCCACGTAGGAAAGTACAATCAAATTTGAATAATAACTGATGATTTCCGTGGGAATTCGGGCTCGCAGTTCGGTCGTTCCGCCTCACAAGCTCAAAACTGCCTAACATCGAATAAGAAAGAAAATTGTGATTAGCTACTATCTCCACAAATTCGCCCTACACATAGTCTACTTCCGTTTTCTTCTAAACTTCTACATAAAAATTTCCTTGGCGAACAAGAAAATGAATGGTTTACACCAACGAAAAGCGGAAATTCCGATTACTCGTTAGCTAATTTCAAGTTGTCTGAAAAATAATGAGCAAACGTCTCTACGCCGATCGCGTCGCCGAAAAGAAAAGAATATTCACGCAATTTTCTATGCGACAAAACGCTCATTATCTTCCAGACAGACATAAAATGTGACGACTCTCACTAGTTGTTTACGCAAAACAAGCGATCCCACGTAACAAACGCAGAGAAAAAAGTCCAATTCTTTCGATGATGCACTTCGCCCCAAGAGTTACGTCACATCTGGAACTCCCTCTAATTTGACTTAAAACATTTTTTATCGCTTCGAAACTGGCCGATTAAACCCTAGAATTGTGTTGATCGTTCTCGAATATATACACGTAGAAAAATCCCATATAACAAAACCTCTCTATAACGGACAATTTTGAAAGGCCAAAGGAGTTACTTTTTAAATTTCAAAAGCCAAAGTAAACCTTTATACAACAAAGAATTTCTTCAGTAAAAGTAATTTTTTGGGGCCTTACAATCCGTTGTATAAGTTTCACTATCAAAAAGCAAAAACGAAGTAAAATTTAGCCAACAAGCCATCCAAATTTCCCCTTTTTATTTGGTGTAAGCCTATGATTTTCTTGTTCGCCAAAGAAATTTTTATGGAGAAAGTGAGAAGAAACCGAACCAGACTATGTGTAAGGCGAATTTGTGGAAATAGTTGCTAATTATGAACGCGATTTGAGGTTTTATGTTTGATATTAGGTAGTTTTGAGCTCAAAAATTTGTTTTGTCTTAGTTTTGAAACAACTTAACAAGGTGGATCTTTTCTTTACCAGTCTGTCGAAAAAATAATGTCCACCATGTCGCATAGAGCATCGCGTTGTTGCCGATAAAATGAGTTGTGCGACAAAAAATTGCTTTTTCACTCACACTTTAGCGACGCGATCGGCGAAGTAACACTGCTCACGTCAAACTGAGGAGTCCGGTGACCGGAATAGACTCTTCGCTATCGGTTTTTTACACTTCGTCTATTTCGCAGAGAAAGAGAGAAAAAAAGACACGCAAAAACGTTCTCTCTCGCCCCAAAAATTCCCCATTTCTCCCCCGACAAAACGTTTTTTCGCGTCTTTTTTTGGCAAATTGCCAATCAATTCACCGGACTGTTTTAGCTTATCTCAGTTTGACGTGCTGCTCCCTATTTTCGGACTGATAAATTTACCCTCTATTTTGTGAAAAAAACTAGCTATAACAAACACATTTTCGGCTTTCCAAAGTCTCTTACATACCCCAAATGACAAATTACAGGCAAAACTTACATTAGAGGAGTTCATTTTGCAAGAGTTCAAGTTCAGAGGCAGTCCAACAAAAGATAAAGATAAAAATAAGGTGCAGCGTGAATCACAACCCGCTTATAGGTCACAATAACAGTAAAGATCAGCTGACCCTCAATTATGAAGCAACTTTTTCTGCGCCAAACGAAGGGAATGACACAAAAAATGGACGGAATATACGCAACGCAAGCCAGAAAAGGCGCGCGCGGGACTTGATCAGGCCGGAGTGTCGTTTCCACAAGTCATCGCGCGATAATGGATGACGTCATTGGGGATGATGCTTGAGTGTTTCCTAATTTTGGGCTTGGAAATTGTAAAAAGGAAATGAGCCAAGGGAAGGCGTAGAATATAAAAAAAAGTTTTTTGGAGGTTCGAATACGAGGTTCTGTATAACGAATTGCCAAGGGCAAAAAATTATTTGTCATAGGATTGTACCAACGTAGAAAGGTTTATATTGACCAAAAAATTGCTCCAAGGCATCTGAAATTGATTGTTATCTGCAAGTTTTCTGGGACAGATGTTCCGCTGTATGTTGCGTAAAAGTCCACCAGGGAAACGTTTGAAATGCGACGCTAAGAGTTTCTTGAATTCTGTGCGCATGTCGTGCGTTGGACACATATAAATGCAGGATATTTTTAGCTTGCGCTTTGGTGCACCCGAGATATCCAGCGATCTTGGCGGGCGAGATAGTGCCCGAAAGGTGGAGTTCGGTCGGAGGTAAAAACACTTTTTGCCGTATCTAGACATGGCTGGGGGGCCGGGCCGGGCCGAAAATCGCGGCCCGGCCCGGGGGCCGGAAGGGGTCGGCCCGGCCCCGGCCCCCTTCAAATTTTCTCGGCCCGGCCCGGCCCCGGCCCCCAGGGGGCCGGGCCGGGCTGGGGGCCGACAGGGGGCCGAACTGTAAATATAAATACTGCATTCATTGCGAGATATAACACATTTTTTTTGGGGCTTTGGTAGTTCAGCTCCCTACGAAAGGTAGTTCAAACCCCCACTGTTTTGTCCATTTCACACCCCCGTAATTAAAAATTAGAATTATACAAAAAATGCAAACTAGAGTAAAATGACCCCAGGCGTTTTAGTTCAAAACCCCAGTTACCGTCCAAATTCGTGTTTGTGGTTCAGGCAACGATGATCGTAGCCGAGAGAACCCAATCCCGAGTAGGCGCTTCAGATTGGATGAGGGGGTTTATACTGGGTCCAGGGGGGCTGAACTGGGCTGGCGGGTTGTACTACCCAAGTCCCCATTTTTTTGTTAACAATCGACAATAAATTTTTGAAACAAAAAATTACCAACCATTTCCTAAAGTACTTCAAAAAACCCAATCGGTTCTTGGCTCTGCGTTTTATTTTTATTGACAACCCTAATTTTCGCTTTGAGACTGAGAATTTTAATCATTGGGGGCCGATTGGGGGCCTGGCGGGGGCCCCCGGTCGGCCCGGCCCGGGGGCCGGAAGAGGTCGGCCCGGCCCCGGGGCCTTTAAAACTCGTTCGGCCCGGCCCAGCCCGGCCCCCCGGGGGGCTGGGCCGGGCCGGGCCGGGCCGGCCCGGCCCACTAGCCATGTCTAGCCGTATCTCATTGATTTCGGCGACGTGCCTGTGCAGAAAAAGTCGTGTGACAGCCCAAAAAAGCCTATCGCAAGAAATTGCACGGTAAAGTAAAACTGTGTTTTCGCACAGTGCATGTCGCAAAGGCCGCCACTGCAGCGACTTTGCGAACGATAGTAAAATTGATCTAAATTTGTGCCAAGTTTCAAAATCTAAGCGTCTCACTTGGAGTATTTCAGAATTATTTTTTTTAACTTTGCCGTTCGTTGTGCAAAGTTTGAACTGTAATTACACTCGGTGAGCAATACAATTCGACCCAAAAAAATCGTAGATAGATGAGAACTTTTAGAACAAAACTTTTGCCTGCCTCTTTTGATTCATAACCTTACTATTTTCGGTAACTAAAATACTCCGTTTTCATCCTCCTCTCCTGACTCATTTTCGGCTCGTTGAATGATTTTGAGCCCACCTCGAAATGAAGAGGAGGATTTTAGCGCGCAAAAACAAGTTGCGGTAATATTATAGGCTCGCTACAACGAGGTAAATATTCCATTATAATACGCTTATTTTTGGCTTTGATTCTACCGCGGGAGTTGGAATTATATTATAAGTAGGAGTCGGATGTTATATTCATTTTAGAGGGTTTTAAAATGTGCGCTCAAAAAGTATGTGTTTCCAGGAGAACTTATATCAGTCGGTCGGGCAAATAATGTGGATTTGTTGTGCCTTGGAATTGCCCATCATTCCGGCTGCGACATGGCGAGACATTTTGCAGCGACAAATCCTCATTATTTTCCCGACAATCTCGTATTTGTCCAAAAATCAAAACATTTTGCCACCGGCAATGTACTGAAAGATCATGATTAATAATGACATTTCAAGGCCAATATTTCGACCGCTAATTTTCTTGTTTTCTTTCCGCTCTCCTCATTTTCGCACTCTCTTGTCTGTAATATCAGTCTGTCGGGAAAATAATGTGGATTTGCTGTGCCTTGGAATTACCCATGATCGCTTTGCGACTGCGAGCTGCGGCTGGAAATTTAGAGCGCGACTACGACGAGGCGAGATATTTTACTGCGAAACATCCACATTATTTTCCCGACAATCTCATATTCGTCCAAAAATCCAGGAATTTTGGCTCAGGCAATTTACTAAACTCATGGTCAATGATGACATTTCAAGCTCAATATCCCTACCGATAATTTTCTTCTTCTTTTGTCCATCAGTTTCATATTTTCCGCCCCCACCCAAATCACTCAAAACGCGGACATTTTTCTTCGGTCTGAAGTGCATGTTGGTGGTCATTTTGTGTGTGCTTAAAAACAAGATTAAGTTCGGCGGGGTCAGATCAAGGGAGAGGAAGAGGGGGGTGCGCGGGAGTTATGTTTCGTTTCAAAGATAAAAAATTTTTGTTGCGACGCGTGTGATTCTTGAATTTCAGGGGGGCTTGCGGTCAAGAGTCGTCGTTTTTTCTCTGTATTCTTGCTACTTCCTCGAGGCTATTTTTTGTTCAATTTTTCG